ATTTTGAAGTCACCTGTACACATGTATACCATCTCATTTACATAAACAAAAATAAAAGTGTTGGGTTCACTTGTCCGATGTATTTTTTGTCCTTAATGTTTATACCCACTAGATGTACGAGGAGTTGAAGAAAACTTTTTAGATGTTCTTCCTACAGACATTAGGTTTAAGAATGTCAAAGTGGTGTTGTTAACACCGCCTTGTTCACATTCCGGCATTACAAATCCAGTGGATTACATATTACATGATGGTGAAGGTAAGAGCTATTCATTGTTTTACGCTGATTTTTGTTTTGAATGTGATATATATTCCAGGTTGTCGTTGGTTACTGTATACAACACATGTTCAAATTTTGTGTAAACAAATAAGACTGTATTTTACAAGCATATGTGGCATATTGGACATAATGTTGCAACAACCACCTCCATTTAAATATATCAATATGACTGTGTACTGGAAAAAGTAGTCACTACGGCAATCGTTGTAATGTCCTTGTTAAATCATGTCAGCATACTGTTCAGTGATTTGTTGTAAGTTTGAAGTATTGTGTTTAGATGCAAACTAATGTACAATTTTTAAATGTTGCTATTGGTTTAAATATAAAATTTCAAATAAAATATATTTGACATGCATGGGTATGGGACTTGTATCAAACACTATGCTGAATGGTGATCACTGTTGTTTATTGTTTAAATGCATTGAAGCATTTATTGATGCTATCCATATCTGGAGATTTCTTGTCATTTTTGTCAGTGAAACATTGTGCTCACAGCTTAACAATGAAGCATGTTTTGTACACCAAAGAAACAGCAATGCAATTTCACAACAAATCATGTGAAACACCCTCAGGAGTTTTATAGCGCCCTCTATCGATACTATGTTTTTTTTTATAAACAGACACAAGTATATTACAAGACTTATCTAAAGATGAGATAGATCAGGATAAAGTTGATGAGCTCATAAATTTACAAATGGATTACCTCAAACATGCAGTAAAATGTAAGTTTTTATTCATACAGGGTAGAAGCATTCTACAACCTAATGTATAACTTCCTTTGAGTCTGTCAACATGCAATGGTTAGTTACTTTTCAAGACTAGCTTGCTCTGTGCATTACGTGATGCCATCCATAAGAAAAACTCAGATGGGCAGTGCTCACAGTCTGTCCATAGATAAATAAATGTTAATTACTTAATAAATAAACTGAAGTACCGAAAACTGCCAGTTGAGTAGTGCCATCTGTTTCCAAATAGACAAAATCTCCTATATCCAGCTTGATCCAGACCAAAATAGATTTGCAATGCACATACATAAAATAATAACAGTGAGCTTGGCAAGTGAATGCAATTTATTTAATTGCCCCGTGTGCAGATGATTTCCTGAACTTCATCACACCATAGACAACAGATCAAATTGAATATCCAATGATTAATGATGTCATATTTGTGCTCATAGTCCATTCTAATACCCTATAAAATTCAGTACAATAACTGGTGTCATGTTGATTTGATTGACAGCTTATTGTCTGGCTTGTGTGAAAACAAACTTACAGATATTCTTGCGTTTTTATCTAAAAGTATATTTGACCTGTTAAAAATCAGAATTTTATTTTGTTTTTGCAATTGCAGTTTCCAAAGTTCAAGCCGTTGTTTACTGTACACATTCTACTAGTCCACATGAAAATGAGAATGTTGTGACTAAAGTGTCTGACTATACAAATGCCAGACTCACACTTAAACAGATGCCATGGAGGATTACCCCACCCACACTGCCAATACCACCATCAGATGTAGACACATATGGAAAACAGAGATACTTCAAAACCGAGCCCTCATCAAAGATCAGTGGTTGTTTTGTGTGTGTAATAACTAGAGAGGTAGGATTCATTTTTCAATTGTTTTTATTTCTAAGTTGTTTTGTTCAAAAAAGATGAAGAAGCTGTTCAGAAATGATCTTAGTAAAGACTGCCCTCTACTGTTGAAAGTAAAAACTTACTTTCTTTTTAGAACTTATCTCATACTTCATCTGTATTTGTCGGTTGGCAAACACATATGAACAAGATTTGTATAGATAACTTACAACTTTCTTTGTACAGTCACAACAATGTTGCAATATCTATGATAATCAAAACAACATTTTTCCAGGGAAGTGACATTGCCATGAAATGTAGCAATTTGTTTTCATAACATTAGATGATTTCATAGCACCAATAAGAAAGTTCCTCTCTATATTGCAATGTACAGAGGGACTCTCCTAGGGAGTTTGCTAATTTCTCATACAAATCTTGTTTGTGCCCACTGTAACGACCGACACAACATTTTCTTAATATTTCAAGTGAAGAAATTTACTTCATGCATACAAAGTTCAAAAAATAGAATATTTGATCTTGATTCTATGGAAACAATGGCTTTGTGATATTTTCTATCATTCATCTCCTTCATTGGTGGATATATTGAGTGAAAATTGGTGAAACTCATAAAACTTTAAAAATTAGATAGCGGGAAGGGGAGCAACATCTTTTATTTTGGGCTTTTAAAAATGTAGCCTGTAAAAATGCATTTGACTGACTTTAATAACACTCTATACCTACAGGCTACAGCAGATGACCAACTTACTGCAGCAGATATCATAGCTAGAGCTAAAGCCAAAGGTTTAATGGGACTTGACGGTGAGAAAATAGATACTGAAGATGAAGAGCCCATCGCAGAAATTGGTAAACGCAAGAAGAAGGGTGGACAACGTAGTCCAAGATCCAAATCTACTTCCTCAATACGACGAGTCTTCCCCAAGGGCAAAATTTCGCCACCTGGACGAGCTTTGAGAGTATCTCCGACCCGATCACAACGTAAGGTTGGTAGGAGTAAAACAACACTGATACCCAATACCAGCTCGGATGAAGACTTCAGAACAATCAAGACTGTCACAAGGAAGCCTCGTACAGCAAGTAAGACACACACACTCCATCAACAATTCCATTCCTGGTGTGATCTTGTATATTCACTCATCGCAGTTTTATTTTTTCAGTGTTTGCACTCAGTATTCCTGTCTCATGCACTCGTCATTTGTGCCTCTGCGTTCAAACTTCTTAATGCGAGATTCTCAGCTCCTTCTTCCGTATCAAAATTCATTATTCATTCTCTTATCCTGTCTTTACCAAACATACTCAATCCTATTCTATCTGATATCCTGTATCATGTAATTTTGTATGGCATCTCATATCATATATCATTGTATCTATCTCATATATATTATCATATCTTATATCATATTTAATATTTATCTACCATATGTTTATCAATTATTATATTTTATATAAGCCTAGTACAGTAAATATGTGAAAAACATAATCAAAATATCACAACAAAAATTTATCTATAAATTTATCTAATAGATATTGTTTCCGTATTTTCAAATTAGTTGAAATTAGTTGAAATTAGAATTGAAAACAAAGCAAAATATTTTACTGTATGTCACTTAGTTACTTTTGAATAAGTAGCTAATGATCTTACCTGACACCGATTTAATTTTGTACATATTTGGTAATGGTGCATAACAAACAAATAAACATTCTACTCCAAAATGATACACCACAATAACCATGTCACTTATCCTTATTGGCTATTCAATCACAATACCTACCTGTCAAGCCAATCACAAAACGCGTACCTTGCTAGATGCATTATAACCTTGTAATTATGATGATCACCTGATAGATGCTTACCTCTTAACCCATAACATCCAAGACAACTACCACAAAATAAACCCACATAATTTCTATATTTTTGATCAAGACCTGCAAGAAATGAAAGATTATGTTAATTTGGTCCAAAATCAACAAAAAAATTATAGAAAAATACATAAAACTTTATGACTGTTCAAAGGGTTCATCTCACATGCATTCATACATGTAATAAACTTTTTCTGCTCACTGCAAGATCCTGCGTTATGTGTGAAATCAAACTTAAAAACAGGACAAACATAACGTTGCAGTAGCGTCTAAACATCGCATGGGATTCGTCAAGCGGAAAATTATTTTGGGGTATTTTCACGCTCAATATAGCATTATAGATATTTACTGATGGTCAGTTTTGATGAAGTAAGGCTATATCTCAATACAGTATTCTCCTTTCAAAGATCATCATTTCGAGAATTAGCTATAAAAAATTCAAATTTAAAATTAAATTTTTCAATTTTTGCAGCAGACATTCAGTTTTGTTCACGCCTCTCATGCCTTATGCGAGATCTCCCAGTGGGTGGAAAATTACCCATTCCTAGTGTTTTAGTGCTGATACGCCTAGTCACTATAATATTTCAACTGTAACCAGCCAGGGTGGAAAGGATGTTGATCAAAGCCATTCCCAGATGTGTTCATGAATCAGAGAATATGTACTATTGTGCTATTGGTTGGCAATGTCAGCCAATCCTAAGTAGTTTAACATACATTGTACCTACCAATTACTGTTTGTCTTCCAAAGCTGGCTGGTTGCAGTTGGCCCCATTTTTTTCAACACTTAAAGGACAATATGTTGTAGTGTAATGAAATGTATAACCATTTTTGCACCTAACAGGAATGTTAATTGTCTAATATATATATATATATATCTGATGGGCTGGTAACAAAGGCAACTGCACCTCATGATATATATCATGTGTCTGATAGTGTACACGCATGAGTGATTATATATATGCATAGAATGGCTATATCTAAGTGTGCGATTTTATATTATATTAATTTGGCTATACTCTGCTACTTACACTGCAATGATGTAACGTCACAGTATTGCTTTACACTGAATCATAATGTGCTGCTATGAATGTAATATTATAATTATACTAATTTGCATGACCAATCAACTGTCGATCCTCACAATTGTGGCAAAGACCCAAAATGTTTGTGACATTGTCGCTGCATTAAAATGTAGTACATCGAATGCTGTAAACTCTTAAATTTATGATGTAGGAAATGTGCACTGGTACAAATTCAATTCAAAATTAATTTTGTGAATTTAAATCAGTTTACAGTATGTGTATCAGCCACAGATTTTTTTCCGCCAGCATTGACATATTTTTGCATGTTTCTTGCATTTTTCTCTGATCAGAATATTAATTTTGGAGCCAACTGACAATATGTGGTATAGTCTATAAATTTTGATCAAAAATTTTAAAATGAGAACAATATTTTGAAGAAAATAAGCAAATATTAAGCAAGACTACTTGGTCTTTGTCACTTTTAAGAAGAGCAGCTTTCAGCTAGGCCTGTATGTAACATGCTATTGTTCCTGTGTAATTGCAAAAAACTTCAAAGCAATACATAAAATAATTAAATAAATAAATAAATAAATAAATAAATAAATAAATAAATAAATAAATAAATAAATAAATAAATAAATAAATAAATACAAAGATTCTTTCAATACTTGACTCAACAACCTTCAACTTCTTGAGTTTTTGTCAGAATTTCCTGCTTTATTATAGACCGCAATTTTCGGAAATATAACAAACAATGCACAAAATGTAAATACATCTCACAAATTTTTGAAAATCCATGAAAAATTGATATTATGTTG